GAGGGGTAAGTGTGCGGAGCCACGGCTCCTGGCTTTCCCCCTTGGCAAAGTTTTTGCCCTCATCATGACTAACAGATTGTAATTCCCATGCCACAAAGTGCAGTTTTACTGGTGTCACTGGAAGAGCCAATTCTCCTAGCAGGATCAGGCTTCAGTTTCCTCTGCTGTCACATTGATGGGGAGCGTGCAGATCATCTGGCATCCGAGCCTTTGACCCGGGGCTCGAAATGAGCTGCATTAGCACAGTATAAAGTGTTGCTGTCCCCCCCCCACCTGACGAGCCCCTGCGCATTCCTGTTCTCGTGTTCCCTGACCTGCGTCCTCGCCGTCATCGGCTGCCGAGATGCGCTCTGGCATGTGGGGCAGCAGACATGGACGCCCGCCCGTCTCTCCAAAAGACGACCCTTTTTGGATGCCCTCGGGCACTTTGCCTTTTACAGATATGAAAACTCGTCCAGGAGGTTCTGCATTTTTCTGAGGATTATGTACCATGGCAGTTTAAAAATGTTGAAGATCATCTTTCCATTTCTGTCACTAATTGGTGCTCCAGATATTTAGGTGAAGGAGTCAGTGTCCCATCCCTACTCATGGAGCGGCAGTAATGTGTCTGCTCAGGCTGGTGCTTCACGTTACACCGTAAGCCCAATTCCCAGCTCTACACCATAAGCCAAATTCCCAGCTCTCCCATTCCTCCTGGCCATGTGCTTCCCAAGCCTTGCCTTGGGCTGCTCCTGGAACTGGCTAGGTGCCAGTTTGCTAAAAAAGCAGGAGAGCAACTTGGAGAGCAGGGCGAGTGCCCGGGGGCTTGGCTTGCTTTGCTCAGGCAGGTGGGTGAGCGCGGAGCAGGGGAAGGCTGGACTGAACCCATCTCCCCAGGACTTAAAACCGCGAGGGACACGGAGGGGTTGCTCTGTACTTCACTGACTCTCAAAACATGTGGGCTTGCCTGCCTCTGATTAAGTTACCGTTAATTATCAGGCACTCTCGTTTCGGAGGATGTCATAACGATACACGTGGGTTTAAGGAAGCAGTGGTAGCACCGAAGCACGCTCTGGAAATAGTGTATCACACGGCTCGTGGTGGAGCCTCAAATATCAAAAGCTGCGTTTGATAAAAATTCAGGCCAAGTAATTTATTTGCTGCTAACTGAGCAGTTGCTTGTTAGACTCCAGAGATCCCCGGCTGCCAGAGTACCATCCTCACCTTGCCTAGAGGAGGAGCTGAGTTTAGTTAGCTAGTTAGTTATATTTAACGTTAGTTATATTTAGTGTTAGTTATATTTAGTATTTTATTTTATTTTATTGATTTATTTATTTTAAATCTATTAATTATTTGTTTATTCCCACGCAAAGCAATGTTTTCTCAATTTTACTCCTGACGGTCTGTAATCTCCCGTGTCTATGGAAAACCACTACCATTTTATTCGGTGTTTGCCATCCCTGCTGCACATGTCAGTTGAGGAATAGTGGGAGGTTTCCTTCCTTACTGGTCCGGAAAGGGGCCAAAGCTCTAAGTCAGGCCGAAGCACGAGGGCTTGGACAGCAGCTCAAGCTGAGCCGAGTGCCACATCTGCGTCATGTCCTGGGCTGTGACATAGAAATAACTCCACTGTGACGCAGAAGGAGCTGGCACCTTGGGCGGCCTCCCCCCTGCAGAGCCCGGGTTGGGTGGAAGGGTGGAAGCGCCTCTTCCCTTTGCAGGAGGCTGTCTTGGGGGTGAGGGACAGGGAACCCTGAAGTACATGGTCACTTTTGGTGCTCATGCCTCAAAATAGCTATTGGAAGAGGTAAAGATGGCTCAGAGGAGCCCCAAGCACAATGGGAACACCAAAGGTGTGCTGCAGGAGTCAGTCATCGATGAAACAAAGACATAATAAAATCTAATAGCTGGAAATTGAAGCTAGACATGTTCAGAATGGAAACATTTTTGCAGACTGCAATTTTTGAAGACTGAGAGCAATATAATCATAAGAAGAAGTTAAGTGGGACAGTGGATTTTCCATTACTTGAAATTTGTTCATTGAAGTCAAACATCTTTCTAAAATTTTCACTAAAATTCAACATACAACGCTGTGTGTAAGTCAAAAATTACGATGTTCAACAGCCAAGCTCACCCAAGAGAGCCAATGAGATATAGTGATTATTTTGTTGTTAAACATTCTCGGTTTTGTCCACGGCTGACCCAGGAACCGGGCGGATGTTGGGAAACAAGCGTCGTTAAGGCAGCAAATGCACCGGTTTGTTCCTTATCGGTTCTTCATTACAAGCAGTGGTTTTGGCACTTTGCTCGTATTATGCCGAGCGCTTTTGTCACCACTTCTGTGGTCCTGGTGGATAACTCTTATCAAAGTGCCCTAGATCAGGTTATCAGCCAGAAGCTGCTGCTCTGCTCTCTGGCAAGGTGCGGCGCTTGCTGGAGGAGAGCCAGAGGCTCCGGTGAGGCTCCTGCGGCTCTGCTTGACTCCCTTTCCATTAAGATTCACAAGGGCTTGGGTAGGTGGTGAAAACTCAACCTCGCTTCGATGTGTTGCTGGCTCTCGAGCTGGAAGAGAGGGAACTGAGAGTGGCTGAGCAGTTCAGCGACGGGAGGGTTTGTTGTTTAGTGAAGGGAGGACTGCAAAAAATGTATGAGTCCAGCTCTCCCTGAAGCCCCTCCTTTCCAGAAAGGTAGTTTGGGGGCTCTTGGGGAGAAGTTGCTGGTTTGGTTTGTTAGGGGTAGCTCTCTCGTCAGCAGGAGCTGGGCCATGGTACCAGCAGAGACGAGGTGCAGCCAGGAGCTGGGGCCGGTGGCCGGGGCCGGGGCTGTGCTGCGAGGGGGGTGTTGGTGGTCTGCAATGAGAGCGTGGCTGCTGTGGCTGTGGCCGTGGGCGCCCTCGCACCCGGCTCCACTGGTGGTTTGCAAAGTGGCTCTTCTGCCTCCTGCCTGACAGAGAAGAAACACACTTTAGCTGATGGGTGGTTCCTGCTCTTGTAGCTGTAAGACCAAATTAAATCTCACAGCGAAGAATCCTTCACATAAGCTTTTGAAAACATGAAGCAAAATACAGTGTCAGCCTTTTAAAAAGGAGGAAATAAAATAAAGCAAGAGTTTCAGATTCTGCCATTCATCTCTCCTCCTCTTTAGATGAAACGCTTCCAGTTCCTTGGCTGATAGGAACTTTAATTCGATATTGGCTGGTAGCAAGCTCTGAGATTAGGCAGACAATTGACACTGATTTGTTAGGCTTACGGAGCTTATTTTCGGACTTCAACCTTGGGCAGAAAATGTTTGGGAATAATAAGAGGTGGTGTTAGGCCACGCTCAGGCGCTCCTCACAGCCTCTGGCATGGCTGCTCAGGCTGGTGGGGCTCAGCGTGGGCAATCCCTGGGCTTGGCCACCGTTATGCCCTACGGAGGTAGTCTGCCGCAGCGCTGTTTAAAACCTGTACTGGCAAATGCAAAAAGAGAGGAGTGATTTGGGTTGGCCTTTTGGGGTTTTTAGGTCCGTAGGCAGCTTAATTTCTCTCTTGCTTCATCTGCGGGCTCCTGCGTCTGCCTGTCAATATCCGTGGAGGTCAGTGCTCAGCTTTGCTTCACTTTTGCCTCTTCTTATCTTCTGCATGGATAATCTTTTTCATCACAAAGTGCTTACACGTCCCAGGTGGGCTTTTGCGAGCTCACAGCTTTGTATCCAAGGACCTGCCTTTCTGGGGAACTCACTCTTCTTTATGAGCTTTTCTGACGTGGCTTAGGGAAGGCATGGCTTCGTGTCTGAGCCACTGCTTTGAGCCACGGCTCAAAGCTGACGAGATCATTTGGGTTTTCCTTTTGGCATGTCAGATGGTGGCGAGCTGGAAACAACGGCTGGGCAAAAAACCCAGCTCAGTGCGTTGGAGGAAGAAAGGAGGGGACAGAGAAGTGTATGTGCTGCTCGCTCCCTTGGTGGCTTGTTGGAGATCAAGATTAATGAAAAGCAATTTCAGGAACGTGTTGACATGCATCAGCATAATTAGCACATCCTTGGCTTTGGCTGATCTCTGGAAGAAAAGCTCAACCTGAACTAAACCAAGTTTTAGCCCTGTCCCGCTGCCACGTGGGCGCTCTGAATTTGTCCAGGCGCCAGGAAAATGCAGCAGCTCCAGCGGAAGAGTTTAAGGAGCGTTAGACTCCCCTCTCCCCCCGGCATCCGCAAACCTTTTGCTTTTGCAGGCTTTTCTCCTTGAAGCAGTGGCAAAGAGTTGCCACATGCTCCTCTGCACCTGAGAAAACACTACTGCCAAGCTGTTTTACGGGAATGGAGGCGGTTTCTTTCTGATGTATACTCAGGATTAACTTTTCCTATAGCCCAGGAGTTCCTCTTACGCAGTTTTATCCTTCTTTAAATGCGTACAGGATACAGATGAGTATTACATGTTCTTCTAACACAAGGAGAGGTGTACAATTTAAAGGGATTGAGACTATGGGATTCCCCATTACTATTAATTATTACTATTTAATCATGTTAGTGTGTACTGGAAAAAATAATTTTTGAAAGATTTATCATTGAAGTAGGACTCATCGTGTTTTCCAGCAGGTGCCCATCTTTCAGGAAGGTATCATCACAGAAGTAGCGGTTCTCTGCAACAGGGCTGCTTTCCGTGCCATCAGTGATGATAATTGCTTCTCAGAATTATAATTACTGCTCGTACGGAAAAGGCATCTTAGGAAAACGAATTAATGCGATTTTAGGGAATTCGGCGTAGCGCTGAGGAGGGAGCCCATGCTCTGGATGTCGCTTTGGGATGCATAATATTTGCACTCCCCACTCCTGAAGTTAGCACAAATAAGGGGGAATCTCGTAACGGAATACGATCAAGGGAAGCAAGAAACTCCTAAGAAACCTCCAGGTTGTCGGCAGAGCGGTGCCGGCATTTCCCCGAGGCAGCATGGCTGGCACAGCGCGGCACTAATTCAGATCTGATCTGATCAGAATATGTGTTTCTGACCCACAGCTGCTCTGTATTTTGGAAGGGCTAAGATGAAACGGAGTGGAGACCCCATCCCCTTTCTCCTCTGCTGCTTTTGCATTATAGACCTGGCCAGAAAAGATTGATAGCCGTTGATGTTAAGTCCTAGCTGAAGCGTTTTTTTGCTGAGATAAACTTTAACTGGGTGATCTGTGCTTTTCTTGTTCTAAAATGTTATCCTGCTCAGGCGCACCGATGCTCGGTCCCTTGGCAACTGATTTCAGTCACAGAGAAATCCATTCCTGTATGTAGTTTTGCATTTTAACTTTTTTCGGGTTGTGTGGTACTTTGTACATCTTTGGGAATATAAGATACGAATGCCTTGAGGAAAATGAGTATTCATTTAAATTGTAGCTGCATCTTAAGGGGGGGGGGGGAGAGTACCTGGTATTTCTTAATAGTTTAATGTATAATATCTAGAAAACATGGCTGTAAACTAATTGCCTGTCTTCTGGGGTCTGGTAAGATGCTGCCCTGTTTGCATTAGGGCAGGGTTTATGGTCAGGAACGCTCGATGGCTTTGCAGCATTTGACTTTCGTATGCAATGGCAGCTGCATGCGATGGCTGACGATTTTTGGCTTTTGATGTTTTTTTAGAGGAGAACAGGAACAGCATCATCAATTCCAGCCTGGAATCCGTCATCTCTTCAAACGTAAACAGCTTCCTCAACTCCAACAGCGCGCCCCAGCCCAGCCTGAACTCAAGCGATCTTGAACTAGAAGTAATTAAACCCAACAGGCCGAATTCACTGTAAGTACAGTGGTAATTAGTGTTTTATAGGCTCTCTGGTCTTAGTCTTTAATCAGGGCTGTTTCTTACTCTGAATCCCAGCAGTTTGTTGAAGAATACAATTAACCATTTTAATTTTTAATGGGCGCCTAGCATGCGCCCTGCATTTTTAACTCAGTCTAAGTGGTGGAGTTAGGTACTGGGGGTTGTATCTGCTGGCGAGTTTCAGCGCTGAATATTTTGCACATGTGGAATATTTTTCGAGCAGAACTCCACATTGCTGCTTGAACTGCTCAACCCATCTGGTGATAACTCCAGCAAACACAAAGGACTTTTCTTCTGAGTCAAATTCTATGGCTGTTGTCAGTACAGTTGATCTCCGGCCAAATCTGTGCCATTGCTTCTGCTATTGCTTCCTTCATCTGGAAAGTTCAAGGGAAAAAATAGCGACCTTAGCAATGACTCCCTGGGGATGGCCGAGTTATTTATGAAGTCCCCTGAACTTGACACAGCTGAGTCCTCGCGCCGATGGCCGTCTCTGCTGGGGGAATTTCCTTCCTGCCACGGCTCTGCCGGGGCCGATAGCATTTTCCCACAGAACCTCCCCTCCTCATACATGTGAAGATCTGCTCAGATCTTCAAGAGCCATTGCAGTCCTTGCAAGCCGAAGCCAATTTTCCTCCCAGCACTCCTCGGCACGCCCCTGCCCGTCCCTGCGGATCGGCTGGGAGGAATGCTGCTCCCTCCACGGCAGATTATGGCCTTGCTGTATGCGGCGACCTTCTCAATTAAGAGGGACCTTCCTTCCCACCCCTCCAGTCCTCCCACAGGCTCCAAACACTTCCAGTTCCCACTCAATCTCAGAAGTCCCCAGTCCCTTGAGAGCAGACAGTGACATTTTTGCTTTAGCTGCTTTCTTCTGTTATCAGCAGAAGGATGGCTGAGGACTCGGAATGGATAAGTGCCAGGGCGGGTGCTGGTGGAGATGGTGACACTTGGTGCTGTTGGCTTGGTTGACAGCAAGGGTTGGGGTTTGGGGGGGGGTCTGGGGTGTAGCCCTCGCTGCCAGCATGTGGAGGTGGCTCAGGCCCCTGCCGGCAGTGGTTTGCATGGGCAGAAAGGTAAGTACGGAGCGGGCAGCCAGGGCTACTGCCTGTGCAAGCGTGTGTCTGAACAGAGGACAGGCTCTGGCTTTCATCCATCCGCTCTGCCTCTCTCCTCACCATTACTGCCACTAAAACCATCAGCTGCGCGAGTACCAAAGCAGCCCGGCCTCTTGCCGGCCTCGCCTGGCGTTGGCTCCGGGAGTGGGGTTTGTAAGGCTCAGCTCCGTGCCTCGCCTGCTGCCTGTGGATCTGCCGCCTGCGAGAAAGGAGTGTTGTGGTGGCAGAGTAGAGCATCCAAAGGTAGGACGCCTCTAAATTAAGGTTGCGCGTTACGTGTGTTTTGTGCTGAGTGAGGATGCATAGATACCTCATGCCTGGACTGTCGGCTGAAGCTCTGGAAGTCCGTCACATACCATTCCCCCAACAGGATATTTGTAGTTTATTTATCCATTGAGGGGAAAAAAAATGATGTGACTTATAATACAGTAAGGTTTGTGAGCCTGAGTCTTGCCGTGACCTTTACAGGGACTGTTTGCCAAATTCGCAGGTTTTCGGATTCCAAGAGTTGCCTCTTCCTAATCATTTCTTTTTTAAAGGACATCAAAAAGAAGTTCAGCAGAATAAATCAGTTAAAGCTATGTGGGGCTTTGGGGAATGGAGGCATCTTGCTGTTACTGAGGAATTAAGTGAGCAGACTGGCAGTGAAACCATTTGCTTGCCACCAGTTAAGGGGCCTTTACAATTCCATGAAGTGAAATAGTGATTAGCAGGGCAGCACCGGCCGCTCTTACGGCTCTGACAGTGTTTGTGGCATTTGGTGCTTTTCCTCCAATCCAGTGGTTACGCGATAATTTTTACACACGCGGGAATACACAAGTTCTCAGTCAATGTTGAGCTAAAGGTTGAAAAGGAGTCTTAGGGTGAATAATGCCACAAGGCAAAGGTTTTCTTCTCCATAACCCCAGATATTTAAATAAAATATCTTTAATCCAGTCTTTCAATGAGAAATGAAGCATCTGACTTCATTTTATTCTTTTTAAACAGCACGGCTAGGTGGCACTTCAGCCCCTCTGTGCCCGCTTACCCACGAGCCCAGGTCTGTGCCCATGGCTTTGGCAGGTCCGTGGCTTTTTGCCCTCGGTGGTCAGCGCTCTCTGGGGGTGTTGGTTTCCAGTGGCGAGGATGAGGAGGGTGAGGAGGGCTGCCAGCAGCGGGTCTATCCCCCAGCCCTGCCCTGCGGCTGTTTACAGGCTGCAGTCTGGGTCGGGGCAGGGTGTCTGAATGGGGCCAGTATCCCGGTGGCTTTGTCACTGTGGGATTGCCCAAATAATATCTGTATAAAGCCGCTTCTGTTTTTTTTTTAACCAGCTGAGTAATTTGGGCTTTGCAGGAAGCCTTGGGCAGCTACGCGCACTGCAGCTGGTCTGTAGTATCTGTTACTGCTGTGCAAGGGGTTCTGGTGCTCCCCTGTAATTACCGGACCCACAATTAGGGTATACGGCAGCGGGAGAGGTCTCAGGGTGCCTTGCCCTTCACGCTTCTTCAAATACTCTGCCAAATTCTCTGCCCGGTCCTGTGAGACCGATCTTTGAGCTCTGCTTCAGGACTTTGGGTTTTTTCTTGCGTTCTGCACCATTTTCTGGAATTTTTCGGCCGTGGACCAGGGCCATCCTGTCTGAGGACCCGTTCAGGAGGGGTTGGCTTCCCTGGCAGCCTGCCCATGAGCTGATCAGCTGCCTGAGCTGGGAGCCAGCGCTCGCCAAAATTCAAACCCTGCAGCTGAGGAGCTGTAAAATTCCAGGTGTGCGGAGGCCAGGAAGTCCCGCTTTCCTCCTTGGAAGAAAAGGGGATTTCTTTCTGAACAAGAAACTCTTTTAAGAGAACAAGTACAAAAGAACCCTGGATTTGGTGTTTCCTTCCCTTCGAGGAAGGGACCTCTGCTTCCCTAACAGGACAACAGCAAAGGTTAGTAAATTAAAAACCGCTCCAGACCAGAATTTGACCCTACCCCTCATCTGCGGGCAGAGCTGATTGCGGCCGTTCAGTGCTTAAAGGGCGCCTATAGGAAAGATGGGGAAAATCTTTTTAGTAGGGACAGCTGTGACAGGACAAGGGGTAATGGTTTTAAACTAAACCAGGGCTGGTTTAGACTAGATATAAGGAAGAAATTCTTTACAATGAGGGTGGTGAAACACTGGAACAGGTTGCCCAGAGAGGTAGTGGAGGCCCCATCCCTGGGAACATTCCAGGCCAGGTTGGATGGGGCTGTGAGCAACCTGATCTGGTTAAAGGTGTCCCTGCTCCTGCAGGGGGGTTGGGCTGGGTGACCTCTAGGGGTCCCTTCCAACCCTAAACATTCTATGATTCTATGATCTTCTGCTAAATGCATCGTGGAAAAAAAGACGGCTGATGGATATTTCCGCACCGGGGAAATGCCTTCATTAATTAGGGCTTTTTCCTGCTTTATTCTGAGGTTTGGTGCCTTTAGGTGTTGGTGTGTGTCTTGCCCTTCACCCACATGGGCAGGGTGGGCATGGTGACCCTGGTGCCCTGCCCAGCCTCAGCTGAAGCTGTCCTGAGATGGGTGCCCACCTAGGGAGGGCTGAAGGGCCAAGCAGGCATGCAATGAGCCTTTTGGCATTAACATCGCTTTGAAATCTTTGCTTAGGTTGTCTCGTGGCATCAGTGGGTTGCTCATCGGTGGCTGTGTGTCACCTTCTCACATGTGCTACCGAGCAGGCAGACCGTGACAGCCGCAAAGGGGAAAACATGTTTTTTCTGCTGGTCACAAGGTACCAAACTCTGGTCCGTGCTCAGGGAAAGCTGCGAGGTTGTGTTGCCCCGAAGTGATGCCCACCTCGGAGCAGCTCTCCAGCCCAGCCAACGGCAGGGATAGCGATGTGCCTGAGGCCATCAAGCCTTTAAGCCTTGATAGAGCCCGAGCGGGATGTCCCCTCTCGGGACCTCTCACGTTGGGCACGGGGGCTCCTGGCTGCACGGGAGCTGTGGTGCAGCTACTCACCCTCTGCAAAAGCACTTCGGGAAACTGCAGGGAAGGGTGTTGGGTCGTTTTGGTGTTCTTGCTTCTCAGTAAGATGAAAACCAATGTTCGTGGGGAAATAAGTCCTGTGGATCTCAGGGGGAGACTTGTTGGAGCACAAATGTTAAGGACTGCAAGTCTGGGGGGTTTCTTGTTTTCCTTTTGCTGCAGTGAGCACCGATGCATTCAAAGGTTGCCTTTAAATGTGCAATGCTAAAAAAATTGTGAACACTGTGAAATTAGAGATGTTTGTTGGAGCTTTTGTTTGCAAAAGCCTCTCGGCTCCCTTCTAAATGCTCGTGTCTCCCCCAGCTCTGCTCCATGGGAGCTGAGCCGGCTCCTAAATCCCCCTCGTGGGTGCCGGTGTGCACCGTGCTCTGGGCACGATGAGCGGTACAGCAGCGGCCGCGCCGGGGCCGAGGTCTCCCTGCCGTGGTGCCGTTACCCCTCTCCTCCTCCCATGGGGAATGTGGTCGCTCGCACCCTCGCCTTCCCTCCAGCGTGGTCCCCCTTCACCAACCGGGAGGGAAATTGTTTTGCTGCAGGGCAAAGGCTCTTCCTTCCCAGCCACCAATCGGGGTTTTACTATGGGAATGCATTTATTTATTAGGGCTGGTTTTATTTTTATGGAAAAACTGCTCTGGGCGGGAGTTGTACTCGGTGAGTCAGCAGGACTGCTGTCCCGTGCCAGGAGCTGTCGCTGCGGCCGCGGGGTGCGGGGGGACCGGGGCTGGCTGCCGGGGCCACCAAAGCCCCAGGGAAGGGGATTTGTTTCTAAATCAGTGTTGAGTTTCTTTATCCTGCCCTTGCAGAAAACATCTTCCTTAGAAAACATGGCAGAACAAGAGCCAGAAAGTGCTGTGTTTCTAGCATAG